TTTTCACATATATTAGAAAGCAAGCAAATTCATATTTTAAAAAATACAACCATACAGCTCAAAGGTAAGTTAATCAATTGCAAATACAGATGACTAACAAATGTCCTTAGAATCAAAACACTAACATATCCGTCATTGATGGGAAACTACTCTAGATAAGTTTGCTGCAAATAACCCCAAATTAATACTCTATATGTAAATAATTTCAAGTTGACCGGAGAAGCAAATACAAGCTTAGATTAGTTTAGTGTGAACCCTGAAGAACATCACTTAACTTATGACATACATCTTACACATATTAAAAGACATTAAGGTATGTTAAGTTTATGTTGACAACTGATGAGCCACGTACTCTAATTTTCCCCTAGAAATACCAACACATGCTTACTCTACATTTAGAATAAGAGACTTCCACTTCCAGCCATGATAAAGTACTAGGAACCGGATTTTCTTTCCTGTTTGTAAACAACAGAAAGCTGGACAGAGTATATTACAAAATGGTTTTCAGACACTGGGCCCCAGGCAGTGGGGGACTGTGCTGCTGCAGAGAAGGGAAAACAGAAGTGAGTCTCTGGACTGTCCTCATACCACCTGGAGACAGGTTCCGGGCTGCTCCAGGAGTGGGGACCTAGTCTTGTCAGTCGAAGACATCAGATTTTGGAGTTGGGGAGGCTAAGGTGGCTAGAATTTACTGGGCACACAACAGGGGAGGAGGAAGGTGCACGAGAGACCTTTGGGGGTCTACAGAAGAGCATGTGGCAAAGCGCTGATCTGAACACGTATGAGAAGAAACTATGAGGGGCTGGAGAAAGCTCCAACAGAAAGCAGCAGACTGAACAATTCCCAGCACTCATACAGGTGGGAATAGCTTCTATTTTCACCAACCAAAATGGAGAGACCTCAGAATCACACTAGTAGTGGAGCTAAATTAGCCCTAGACTAAAACTTGCTCTGGCCCACCCTAACACCCCTTAAAAGCAAGTCTTAAAAGGATCCAATTGATTCCAAGAACAAAGTCCAACATTATTACCTAAATGAATACAAAATGCAGCCCCTAGTAATGTAAAATTCACAATGTGTGACGTATAATAAAAAATTCTAGGCATTCAAAGAAACAGGAAAATATGACCCACCAACTAGGAGAAAAGTCTATCAATAGAAACAGACCAGAAATGACAGAATATTAGCAGACAAGGATACAAAAATGCTATTATAAATATACTCCATACATTCAGAAAAGTAGAGGAAACATGATGAAGACAGAAAGAAAATACATAAAAAGGGAACAACTGATACATGCAAAAATGATGAATCTTGGGGCTTCCCTGGTGGTGCAGTGGTTGAGAGTCCGCCTGCCGATGCAGGGGACACGGGTTCGTGCCCCGGTCCGGGAGGATCCCACATGCGGCGGAGCGGCTGGGCCCGTGAGCCATGGCCGCTGGGCCTGCGCGTCCGGAGCCTGTGCTCCGCGACGGGAGAGGCCACGGCAGTGAGAGGTCCGCATACCGCAAAAAAAAAAAAAAAAAAAAAGATGAATCTCAAAAGGATTATGTTAAATGAAATAAGTCAGACACAAAAGACTATACTCTTGTGAATTCATTTACAGGAAATTCTTAAAAAGACATAATTACAATGATAGAAAACAGATTAGTGGTTGCCAGGGAATGGAGAGAGGACTGACAGCAGAGCGGTATGAAGGGGACTTTTCAGGGGCGACAAAAACATTTTATACTTCAGTTATGGTATGGTTACATGGCTGTATACATTTGTCAAAACTCATGGAATTACACACTTAAAATCGGTGAATTTTATTGTATATAAATGATATTAAAGGTTTTTAGAAACTGTGTGACACATCTGCTAATTTAGTGTACATTAATTTTTCCTGTACCACTTATTATTTTACAACTTGCTACCTTTTTCTTATCATAAACTACCTTTTGTTAAAATATTTTTTTCTTATTCCAAGATTATCAAGAAAAATTATCAAGGAGAAGAAGAAAAGCTAAGAGAGTTAGACCTTACCTTTTCCACCTATGGCTATATCATTCTAAGCAAGTTCTCTGTAACAAAAGCAAGTGGAAATCTCAGTCTCACCATTCCTTGTCATCTGTTCCTTGACAAGAAGAGTCCCAAAAGAAAACACATCTAAAATAACATTCATAGGCAAAACTGGAAGATACTGAGAATAGGCATTTAAAATTCCCAACTTATATATCCTTATTATTGCTGAACAGTATTCCTTACCAAAGATATACCACAATTTGTTTACCCATTTATGTGTTAATGGACATTAGACTTGAGATTACCAACTTTCATTTTGGCAGTTATAAAGTTCAGATTTAAAAGAATTCTCTCTGAGGGACTTCCCTGGCAGCCCAGTGGTTAAGACTCTGTGCTGTCAATGCAGGGGGCACAGGTTTGATCCCAGGTCAGAGAACTAAGATCCCACATGCCATGTGGTGCAGCCAAAAAATTTAAAAAAAAAAAAAATTCTCTCCTAAATAGAGGATGTGGATAAAAGGGACCCTTGTACACTGCTGGTGGGAATGTAAATTGGTGCAGACACTATGGAAAACAGTATGGAGGTTCCTTAAAAAACTATTGATAAAAATAGAACTACCATATAATCCAGCAATTCCACCTCTGGGTATATATCTGGAAAAAAAGAAAACACTAATTCTAAAAGATATATGCACCCCAATGTTCACAGCAGCACTATTTACAGTAGCCAAGACATGAAAGCAACCCAAGTGTCCATCAACAGATGACTGGATTAAGAAGATATGGAATATATACAATGGAATATTACTCAGCCATAAGAAAGAATGAAATAATGCCATTTGCAGCAACAGGGACGGACTTAGAGAATATTATGCTTAGTTAAATAAGTCAGACAAAGAAAGACATATACTATATGGTATCACTTATATGGGCATATATCTGGAAAAGATGAAAACTCTAATTCTAAAAGATACATGCACCCCAGTATTCACAGCACTATTTACAACAGCCAAGACATGGAAGCAACCTAAACGTCCATCGACAGATGAATGGACAAAGATGTGTGTGTGCAAGTGTGTGTGTTTGTGTATACACACACACACAGTGGAATATTACTCAGCCATTAAAAAAAAGAACTAATGCCATTTGCAGCACCATGGATGGACCTAGAGATTATCATACTAAGTTCAGACAGAGAAAGACAAATATCATATGATATCACTTATATGTGGAATCTAAAAAAATGATGCAAATGAACTTATCTACAAAACAGAAATAGACTTACAGACTTAGAAAACAAACTTATGGTTACCAAAGGAGAGAGGGAAGGGGAGAGGGACAAATTAAAAGTATGGAATTAACAGATATAAACTACTATACATAAAATAGATAAGCAAAAGAATTTACTGTATAGCACAGGGAATTATACCCATTATCTTATAATAACCTATAATGGAATATAATCTGCAAAAATAATGAATCACTGTGCTATACTCCTGAAACTAACACAATATTGTAAATCAACTATACTTCAATTTAAAAAAATTCTCTCCTAAATATTTATTTAAGCATCTTAGTCATGCCCAAATAAGGGAAGAATTACTATAATTAGCAACTAACAGCTCAGTTTCATTTGCTTCTAACTGCTTTAGGTGGATATGGTAAAAGAATGTACTACAGTTGACCCTTAATCCATATAATTTATAGTCGGCCCTCCATAGCTGAGGTCTGCAGATTCAACCAACCAGGGACCACGTAGTATTGCAGCATTTACTGTTGAAAAATATCTACATGTAAGTGGACCCGGGCAGTTTAAACCTCTGTTGTTCACAGGTAAACTGTATTTATACTTTATACACAAAGAAACAGGCCCATAAATGTTAAACTACTTTCTCTAAGGCTTTTCATTCAGTAGGAGGAAGATCAAGGTTCTGACTCCCGTTTAGCGCTTTTTCTTCTAAACCACAGCAAGAAATTATGTACTTTTCAAACTTTCAAGTGTTTAACCCTTTACTGGGTAACAATATCTGTATTTTACTTTTTAAACGGCACTTACTAGCAATGAATAGGATAGGGATGAATGGGTGAAGGAGCCTAAGACACAAGGCAAGTATGAGACAAGTGGAAAGTAGTTCTTCCAATAAACTCATCTGGAATAGCAAACTGCAATCAACACTGGTGAGTAGGGAATAAAGACTGAGGGGAAGAATCAAGACCAGTGCTGGAGAAAGAAGCAAACTCAATTAGAAATAGTGGTCATCGTGAATCCCAGAAATTAAGTGGTCTGTTTATCCAACAAAACTACTAGGCTGAACCATGAAACTGCCAATATTTGACTATTTTTGACCTTAAAAAGGCGATTTCTTCTGATTCAACCTAATAATTTCAAAGATAATAATAGGAAAAGCAGCCAAGTTAAGTTACTTACAAATCAGTAAGCTTTTGCAGTTATACGTATTGGGAAAGTGGTTATCCCTTATTCCTGAAGTGACACTGAATTTTAAAGACAACACTGTTACCCATTTTGAATTAAATATCATATAAAATACCAGTTAATATTAATACAAGAAGCATGGTACTTAAGTCCAATCTGCTAGCTCAGTTCTAAAGAGTTTTCTTACTGCAGAGCTGCAGCAAGTATTTGGTCTAACACAAACTTAAAAACAAAGAAAGGTTAGCCTTGTTAAAAAAAAAGATACTGGGCTTTCCTGGTGGCGCAGTGGTTAAGAATCTGCCTGCAGGTGCAGGGGACACAGGTTCGAGCCCTGGCCCGAGAAGATCCCACATGCTGCGGAGCAACGAAGCCCGTGCATCACAACTACTGAGCCTGCGCTCTAGAGCCCGCGAGCCACAACTACTGAGCCCACATGCCACAACTACTGAAGCCTGAGCGCCTAGAGCCCGTGTTCCACAACAAGAGAAGCCACCACAATGAGAAGCCCGCACGCCACAACGAAGAGTAGCCCCCACTCGCCGCAACTAGAGAAAGCCCGCACACAGCAACAAAGACCCAGTGCAGCCAAAAATAAATAAATATATTAAAAAAAAAGATACTAACTCTTAAAAGGTCTTTATCCTTGCCTCAGAGAGAACACAGATGGTAATATAAGAGATCAGCATTCTTCTCTACTTTTCAAACATAAATCTTTACTTTTAAGGGTGATAAAAAGCATAAAAGCAATTTAGAGAAAACCTCTGTACTGATTCTCTTGAAGTTCACAAATGAACCTTACTGTGTTGGCTGTCCTTCTGGAATTTCTTAATACAATTTGTTAGAATGAAGCCATTTTTAGAATCTCTTCAATTAAAACCTACAGCCTGGCATGAAAGAGAGAAAAGTAAACACATATGTGTAGTTAATGTCCCAGAAAATGTAGCAGATAACTTTAACTGGTCATTTTTTAGTCCTGAACTTCTTGTAATAAATTTTATGCTAAGGAGGGAAGTAATGAATATGATGGATCAATAGGTTGTGATGGCATCATTAGTTTTAAGAAATAATGATGGCATCATTATTTCTTTTAAGGAAATAGAAAGCCTAAAAAGGGTGGAAGATGGAGGTAGAAGGAACAGCACAATTATCTACGTATTGATAACCATTATATATTGATAACTTTAAATCACTTTTACAATACAGAATTACAAAGAGAGTTATATTTATTAACCACTGCTAAACAGATTTGCAGTTGTACTAACTGCATTCCAGACATTTTCAAAAGAAATATTTTTACCAAGTCTTAATCCAGATTTCTCTGGGTTCTCAGGCTTGTAATCTTAGGGTTTGAAGGAACTACTCTGTTATTACTCAAATAAAATTCTGTAAGCCCTCCCAGACAGTTATTAATCAGAACAGATGGTGTTCCATGAGATAAAAATTTTCTGAAGTCTCAGGGCCAGTTAAAAAAAAAAAAAGATAAGATCTATGCACAAAACAAGAAATACAAAAGGTAGCAGATATTTTGTCTTAAATGGCATTAGTGCTAACTACTCAGAACTCAGGCTTCAAAAAATATAGCAAGTACTCACCTGTTCACACAGCAATATAACTTTCAATTTAGCTGATGAGCTTTTATATAACTTATAATCAGCAAAATGAGTTTGAGTCTGCAACTTCAAAAAAAACATTTCCGGTGTTAACCAAAATCTTTCAAAATAAAGGACACAAATATGACTGATGTTCAGTCAGAGTTGATCCCCTAACTCACATTATACTCCATTACACAGCTCCTAATCTTCTTAGATTTCCTGGATATGCTGATATAATCTGCCTTCCTGGGAAAAATAAAATAAAGTTACTGCTATTCCTCAGACTTATACTTTCCAATTAATCATAATGGGCTAGAAGAATTTGAAACTGAAGAGCTTCTTCCCCCCTCCCCACTTCTTCTTAAACGTCATAATATCAAAGCACATACGGGTTTTCTCAGTTTAGGGTTCCCAAAACAGAATACATAGCCCCAAGAATGGTTTCAGTTAGCTTTCAGCATTAATTAGGAGTTATGGGACATAAGGCAGGATAAAATATGGAAAAATACTACCCATCACCTTCTTCTAATTTATACTATCAAAGACATTACATTATGGATATTTCACATAATATCTCTTTAATACTTTATGTCTAAGAATTGAACTTAACTATCAATCTTTCAGTTTACTCATCTGTCCAAAGACTTATTTTTACTATCTGGAAGGTTACTTTTTCTAATATTTTACCTTGGTTGGACTATACTGCAGAGTGAAAAGGAACATGTTTCACTCCTGTGGTTTTTCTCTTGAAAAGCATCTTCTTTAAAAAATAGAATAAACTCAGACATCCTCAGTGTTTACTCTGCCTATGTTAAACACATGTCTCCACTCATATCTAAAACTGGAGCTTATATCTTGAAGACTTCTTATACAAGTCTTTATAGTATCAGGTAACTCAAATCACATGCAAACTATGTTTTCAAAGGCTATTTCCAAAGTAATTATGGAAGCTTCTAGTACTGACTCCCTTTAAAGCAAAGAAACCATGTAACATAGTAAGCACAGTGCCAGGCTCAATAAATGCGTCTTCATTTTCCTTTTGCCGGTAAAGCAATTTCTAATCAGGGGAAAATTATGTTTAGCTTCAGTTATTATATCTCTAAATATTACCAAGTCAACTACTAACCAGCCTTACTTCCTGATAAGATACTACTTTATAGTCTTCCATAAATGAATGGACGAACGTGTTGATTTATATTAATTTAAACGAACTTGGCATTCTTTTGCACTAGTGGTACTATATCTAAATCCAATATTAGGACAACAGCTCCATCTCCTCAGCTGGAAGTACTCTGGGCTTATGCAAAGGAGGAGTTAGGTGTGCCTTAATTACTGCCGTTATAGCAGCTCCAAGAACTGTAAATAGTTGGCATGGCAGAAAATCTCAGATGCAATCACAATGACACTTTCAAAAGAGACAAGTAAACCTGGGCTAAGAAGAAGAATTCAAATTCCTTTCTTGCTCAACACTTAAAACCACAGCATCTTTCATACACCACATCCGTAACTTCTGAGAAGAAGAACAGACTATTTTTTTTTTTTTTTTTTTTGAAGAACAGACTATTAGTAGACATTCTCATCTCTCACTTTTGGAAACAGAGGCAACTCTAAGAATTATTTTGCAGCTGAGGAAACTAACCTAACACCCGAAGAGGTTATGTAATTCCAAGTGGAAGAACCAGGATTTGAACTCTCTGATTCTTCTGGTTTCAGACTGTTGTCTTAACCACTACTCATTGATCCACTTTGGCTTCTATATTAAGTAGAACTGACTAAAAGGAAATATTAGGAATAAAACGCCTAGGAATAAACCTACCTAAGGAGGCAGAAGACCTGTACTCCAAAAACTGTAAGACACTGATGAAAGAAACTGAAGATGACACAGACAGATGGAAAGATACACCATGTTCTTGGATTGGAAAAATCAATATTGTCAAAATGACTATACTACCCAAGGCAATCTACGGATTCAATGAAACCACTATCAAATTACCAAGGGCACTCTTTGCAGATCTAGAACAAAAAAAAATCTTAAAATTTGTATGGAGATACAAAAGACCCTGAATAGCCAAAGCAATCTTGAGAAAGGAAAATGGATCTGGAGGAATCAGGCTCTCTGACTTCAGACTATACTATAAAGCTACAGTAATCAAAACAGTATGGTACTGGCACAAAGACAGACTTACAGAACAATGAAACAGGACAGAAAGCCCAGAAATAAACCCATGCACATATGGTCAATTAATCTACAACAAAGGAGAAAAGATAAGCTCTTCAATAAGTGGTGCTGGGAAAACTGGACAGCTACATGTAAAAGAATGAAATTAGAACATTCTCTAATACCATACACAAAAATAAACTAAAATGGATTAAACACCTAAAATAAATGTAAAACCAGATACTATAAAACTCTTAGAGTAAAACATAGGCAGAACATTCTTTGACATAAATCACAGCAATATCTTTTTAGATCCACCGCTTAGACTAATGGAAATAAAAACAAAAATAAACAAATGGGACCTAAATAAACTTAAAAGCTTGTACACTTGAAACACTATGTATAACTGAACCACTCTGCTGTACACCTGAAACTAACACAACATTGTAAATCAACTATACTCCAATATAAAATAAAAATTAATTATCTGGCTCTGCTCTCAGGAAAAGATGTGGTGCCCAGAGACTTCCTTTCATCCTGCATTCTTCTTCCCAATTTCCACTGTAAGATTTGTCATTCCCCCATCTTCCAAAAGGGGGCATCCTACAAAATTTTGGTCAACCATTGCCAGTGTTTTTCAATAAGACTGCTATTGGCATTTGGGGCATAACAATTCTTTGTTGTTAAGGCTGTCCAGTGCCCTGTAGAACATTTAGAATCACTGGCCTCTCGGCAATAAATGCCAATAACATCTCTCCATAGCCCAGTCTGTGACAATCAAAAATGCCCCTAGACTTTTCCAAATGTGCCTTAGGAAGGCAGCACTGTTGCTGGTTGGTTGAGAACTCCTATTGGTCCTGTTATTTCTTTATAGGAACCATGGATTTCTTTTCTTTTGTATCCTTAAACCTGAGTTGGAGATGCATTAGCTATATGATTTGGGGCATGTTTTTATGTCCCTTAGATTCAATTACCACATTTACTCTAGAGGAAGATATAAACGTGGGGCAATTTGATATATTTAGAGTACAAAACCACACATAGGAAAACCTAATATAAAAATACAAGCTAACTGATTAACAGTATATTAAAAGTACCATATACTTATGGTTAAGTAGGGCCTTTATTCAGTAGGCCCTTTCTTTATATATGTTTGGATTCCTTTCTGGAATTTTACTTCTATTTCATTAACTGGACTGTTACAAATTATTATAGCTTACATATAATATATAACTGCATGTATAATTTATATATAAGATATATATAATTACTTGTATTTATAAACTACATATATAGCTTATATATAATAAAATTTACTCACCAGTTCCTCTACTCTTTGGAGTTTTTCACCTCAATTATTATTATTAATTGAGATATAATTCACATCCTTTAAAATTCATCCTTCTAAAATGTACAATTCAGTAGTTTTTATCTATTCTGGACATTTCATATAAATGGAATCATATAATATGTGACCTTTTGTACTGGCCTCTTTCACCTAACATAACGTTTTCAAGTTTCATTCATGTTGTAGCATGTATCAGTACTTCATTCCTTTTTATGGCCGAATAATATTCTTGTACAAATATACCACATTTTGTTTATTTATTCATGAGCTGATGAACATTTGGGTTGTTTTTGATTTTTGGCTATCATGGATAATGCTGCTATAAACATTCCTGTGCAAGTTGTCATGTGGACATACGTTTTCAATTCTGTTGGGTATATACCTAACAATAGAATTTCTGGGTCATATGGTAACTATATATTTAACTTTTTGAGGAACTGGAAACTGTTTTCCAAAATGGCTGGGTTATTTTACATTCCTGTCAGTAATATGGGAGTATTCCATTTTATTAGATCCTCACCAACAATGTTATTGTTTATCTTTTTAATTTTAGACATCCTAGTGGGTGTAAAGTGGGATTTTGTGGTTTTCATTTGCATTTTCTTAATGACTAATAGGTTGACCATCTTCTCTTCTGTGCTTTTTGGCCATTTGTGTATCTTCTTTGGAGAAGTGTCTATTCGAATTCTTTGCCCTTTTTTTTTTTTTTTTTTTGCGGTACGCGGGCCTGTCACTGCTGTGGCCTCTCCCGTTGCGGAGCACAGGCTCTGGACGTGCAGGCTCAGCGGCCATGGCTCATGGGCCCAGCCTCTCCGTGGCATGCGGGATCTTCCGGACCGGGGCACAAACCCGTGTCCCCTGCATCGGCAGGTGGACTCTCAACCACTGCGCCACCAGGGAAGCCCTCTTTGCCATTTTTATTTTATTTTATTTTCTTTCTTTTAATGATTGCTTTTATTTATCTATTTATTTATTTTTGGCCGTGTTGGGTCTTCGTTGCTGCACGTGGGCTTTCTCTAGTTGCAGTGTGTGGGGGCTACTCTTTGTTGTGGTGTGCGGGCTTCTCAATGCAGTGGCTTCTCTTGTTGCGGTGCACGGGCTCTAGGAGTGCTGGCTTCAGCAGATGTGGCTCACGGGCTCTAGAGCACAGGCTCAGTAGTTGTGCACACGGGCTTAGCTGCTCTGTGGCATGTGGGATCTTCCTGGCCCAGGGCTCGAACCCGTGTTCTCTGCATTGGCAGGCAGATTCTTAACCACTGCGCCACCAGGGAAGTCCTGTCCATTTTTAAATTGAGTTGTTTAATTTGAGTTGTAAAAGTTCTTTATATATTCTGGACACTAGACCCTTTTTAGATATATGGTTTGCAAAATTTCCTCCCACTCTGAGGGCTGTCTTTTCACTATCTTGCTGGAGTGTCCCTTAAAGAACAAAAGCTTTTAATTTTGATTCAGTCCAATTTATCTATTTTTTTCTTTGGTTGCTTGTTCTCTTGGGTGTCATAACTAAGAAACCACTGCCTAATCCACAATCATGAAAATTTTACATCTATATTTTCTTCTAAGAGTTTTATAAATTTAGGGACTTACTGGCAGTCCAGTGGTTAAGACTCTGCGCTTCCAGTTCAGGGGGGCACGGGTTTGATCCCTGGTCGGGGAACTAAGATCCCACATGCCGCGCAGCATGGCCAAAAAAAAAAAAAAAAAAATAAGAGTTTTATAAATTTAGCTCTTACATTTAGG